CCACTGCAAGGAAATCCGGCCTCCTTTCAAGTTAGGGCTTCGCGCTGTATATTCCCCTTGAGGCAGCTATCTCGGGGTCACTCGCACATACCTATTGCTGGGAGAAACCTCCTCCTGAGGTGCTTCTGGAAAGTTGGCATATGTCTTGAGCCTAAGCCAGGGAATCAGCTCTCATCTCGAGACGACTTGGGGTACACGGAGCATTCCTCGAGTTGCTGTGCTGATGTTGGTGTTCCTCTAGCCTTGGGTCAGTGTTCTCGGGGCATGTCTGGAGTTGCCTGAAGGAAGTCGAGGCACCGGTCGTGTTGAATGGGGAACGGGGAATGGCTCTGGAGTCAATGCAGGGGAATCCGGCCTCATCTCGACTTGATTTGGGGCACAAGCAGCTCATTTGCGTTGCTGGGGTGACCTCAGGGTCCGTCTAGACTGGTGACAGTGTTCTTGGGGACTGTCTCGAGATCCATTAAGCAAGTCGAAGCTCCTGACTTGTTTGAATGGGATCACGGAATAGCTCTGCATGCACTGCAGGGGAATGGGGCCTCATCTCGCCTCTAGGGGGAAGTCTCATGGTTTTTCTCGAATTGCGGCAGGGACCTGGGGTATGTTCTCGACATACAGCGAGGATGGCCCTTCAAAACACATGTTTATTCAGTGACGTCAGGACTCCTGTCTAGTAATGAGGGACACCTCAGGAATCTCTTCGAGGCTTGGCAGGGCAAAATGGACGCTTCTCGAGGTGAGGCAGGGCACCCAAGGACCCTTTCAAGTAGCCACAGGGATTTTGGGATTCCTATCAGTATTCAAGAGGAGTCAGGCATCGTCACCTTTTGAAGCAATGAACTCTACGTGCCTCTCGAGGTGTCAACGGGATGTGAGGCATTCCGTCAAAATGACGCAGGGACCTTGGGCTTTCTCTAAGGTCTCCACTGGGGATTCAGACATCCCTTCATGTTTTGAGATCAAAGACGAGCCTGTATTCAAGCCACTGCAAGGAAATCCGGCCTCCTTTCAAGTTAGGGCTTCTCGCTGTATATTCCACTTGAGGCAGCGATATCGGGGTCCCTCCCACATACCTATTGCTTGGAGAAGCCTCCTCCTGAGGTGCTTCTGGAAAGTTGCATACGTCTTGAGCCTAAGCCAGGGAATCAGCTCTCATCTCGAGACGATTTGGGGTACACGGAGCATTCCTCGAGTTGCTGTGCTGAAGTTGGTGTTCCTCTAGCCTTGGGACAGTGTTCTCGGGGCATGTCTGGAGTTGCCTGAAGGAAGTCGAGCCACCGGTCGTGTTGAATGGGGAACGGGGAATGGCTCTGGAGTCAATGCAGGGGAATCGGGCCTCATCGCGAGTTGATTTGGGGCACATGCATCTGCTTTGCGTTGCTGGGGTGACCTCAGGATCCGTCTAGACTGGTGACAGTGTTCTTGGGGACTGTCTCGAGATCCATTAAGCAAGTCGAAGCTCCTGACTTGTTTGAATGGGATCACGGAATAGCTCTGCATGCACTGCAGGGGAATGGGGCCTCATCTCGATCCTAGCGGAAAGTCTCCTGGTTTTTCTCGAATTGCGGCGGGGACCTGGGATATGTTCTCGACTTACAGCGGGGATGGCCCTTCAAAACACATGTTTATTCAGTGACCTCAGGACTCCTGTCTAGTAACCAGGTACAACTCAGGAAACTCTTCGAGGCTTGGCAGGGCAAAAGGGACGCTACTCGAAGTGATCCAGGGCACCCAAGGACCCTTTCCAGTAGCCACAGGGATTTTGGGATTCCTATCAGCATTCAAGAGGAGTCAGGCATCGTCACCTTTTGAAGCAATGAACTCCGCGTTCCTCTCGAGGTGTCAACGGGATGTGAGGCATTCCGTCAAAATGACGCAGGGATCCAGGGCTTTCTCTAAGGTCTCCACGGGGGATTCAGAGATCCATTCATGTTTTGAGATCAAAGACGAGCCTGTATTCAAGCCACTGCAAGGAAATCCGGCCTCCTTTCAAGTTAGGGCTTCTCGCTGTATATTCCACTTGAGGCAGCGATCTCGGGGTCCCTCCCACATACCTATTGCTGGTAGAAGCCTACTCCTGAGGTGCTTCTGGAAAGTTGGCATACGTCTTGAGCCTAAGCCAGGGAATCAGCACTGATCTCGAGACAATTTGGGGTACACGGAGCATTCCTCGAGTTGCTGTGCTGAAGTTGGTGTTCCTCTAGCCTTGGGACAGTGTTCTCGGGGCAACTCTGGAGTTGCCTGAAGGAAGTCGAGCCACTGGTCGTGTTGAATTTGGAACGGGGAATGGCTCTGGAGTCAATGTAGGGGAATTGGGCCTCATCTCGGGTTGATTTGAGGCACATGGAGCTGCTTTGCGTTGCTGGGGTGACCTCAGGGTCCGTCTAGACTGGTGACAGTGTTCTTGGGGACTGACTCGAGATCGATTAAGCAAGTCGAAGCTCCTGACTTGTTTGAGTGGGATCACGGAATAGCTCTGCATGCACTGCAGGGGAATGGGGCGTCATCTCGCCTCTAGGGGGAAGTCTCATGGTTTTTCTCAAATTGCGGCGGGGACCTGGGGTATGTTCTCGACTTACGGCAGGGATGGCCCTTCAAAACACAAGTTTCTTCAGTGACGTCAGGACTCCAGTCTAGTAACGAGGGACACCTCAGGAATCTCTTCGAGGCTTGCCAGGGCAAAAGGGACGCTTCTCGAGGTGAGGCAGGGCACCCAAGGACCCTTTCCAGTAGCCACAGGGATTTTGGGATTCCTATCAGTATTCAAAAGGAGTCAGGCATCGTCACCTTTTGAAGCAATGAACTTTGAGTGCCTCTCGAGGTGTCAACGGGATGTGAGGCATTCCGTCAAAATGACGCAGGGACCTAGGGCTTTTTCTAAGGTCTCCACAGGGGATTCAGACATCCCTTCATGTTGTGAGATGAAAGACGAGCCTGTATTCAAGCCACTGCAAGGAAATCCGGCCTCCTTTAAAGTTAGGGCTTCGAGCTGTATATTCCCCTTGAGGCAGCTATCTCGGGGTCACTCGCACATACCTATTGCTGGGAGAAACCTCCTCCTGAGGTGCTTCTGGAAAGTTGGCATATGTCTTGAGCCTAAGCCAGGGAATCAGCTCTCATCTCGAGACGACTTGGGGTACACGGAGCATTCCTCGAGTTGCTGTGCTGATGTTGGTGTTCCTCTAGCCTTGGGTCAGTGTTCTCGGGGCATGTCTGGAGTTGCCTGAAGGAAGTCGAGGCACCGGTCGTGTTGAATGGGGAACGGGGAATGGCTCTGGAGTCAATGCAGGGGAATCCGGCCTCATCTCGACTTGATTTGGGGCACAAGCAGCTCATTTGCGTTGCTGGGGTGACCTCAGGGTCCGTCTAGACTGGTGACAGTGTTCTTGGGGACTGTCTCGAGATCCATTAAGCAAGTCGAAGCTCCTGACTTGTTTGAATGGGATCACGGAATAGCTCTGCATGCACTGCAGGGGAATGGGGCCTCATCTCGCCTCTAGGGGGAAGTCTCATGGTTTTTCTCGAATTGCGGCAGGGACCTGGGGTATGTTCTCGACATACAGCGAGGATGGCCCTTCAAAACACATGTTTATTCAGTGACGTCAGGACTCCTGTCTAGTAATGAGGGACACCTCAGGAATCTCTTCGAGGCTTGGCAGGGCAAAATGGACGCTTCTCGAGATGAGGCAGGGCACCCAAGGACCCTTTCAAGTAGCCACAGGGATTTTGGGATTCCTATCAGTATTCAAGAGGAGTCAGGCATCGTCACCTTTTGAAGCAATGAACTCTACGTGCCTCTCGAGGTGTCAACGGGATGTGAGGCATTCCGTCAAAATGACGCAGGGAACTTGGGCTTTCTCTAAGGTCTCCAAAGGGGATTCAGACATCCCTTCATGTTTTGAGATCAAAGACGAGCCTGTATTCAAGCCACTGCAAGGAAATCCGGCCTCCTTTCAAGTTAGGGCTTCTCGCTGTATATTCCAATTGAGGCAGCGATATCGGGGTCCTTCCCACCTACCTATTGCTGGGAGAAGCCTCCTCATGAGGTGCTTCTGGAAAGTTGGCATACGTCTTGAGCCTAAGCCAGGGAATCAGCTCTGATCTCGAGACGATTTGTGGTACACGGAGCATTCCTCGAGTTGCTGTGCTGAAGTTGGTGTTCCTCTAGCCTTGGGACAGTGTTCTCGGGGCATGTCTGGAGTTGCCTGAAGGAAGTCGAGCCACCGGTCGTGTTGAATGGGGAACGGGGAATGGCTCTGGAGTCAATGCAGGGGAATCGGGCCTCATCTCGAGTTGATTTGGGGCACATGCAACAGCTTTGCTTTGCTGGGGTGACCTCAGGGTCCGTCTAGACTGGTGACAGTGTTCTTGGGGACTGTCTCGAGATCCATTAAGCAAGTCGAAGCTCCTGACTTGTTTGAATGGGATCACGGAATAGCTCTGCATGCACTGCAGGGGAATGGGGCCTCATCTCGCCTCTAGGGGGAAGTCTCATGGTTTCTCTCGAATTGCGGCAGGGACCTGGGGTATGTTCTCGACTTACAGCGACGATGGCCCTTCAAAACACATTTTTATTCAGTGACGTCAGGACTCCTGTCTAGTAATGAGGGACACCTCAGGAATCTCTTCGAGGCTTGGCAGGCCAAAAGGGACGCTTCTCGAGGTGAGGCAGGGCACCCAAGGACCCTTTCCAGTAGCCACAGGGATTTTGGGATTCCTCTCAGTATTCAAGAGGAGTCAGGCATCGACACCTTTTGAAGCAATGAACTCTGAGTTCCTCTCGAGGTGTCAACGGGATGTGAGGCATTACCTCAAAATGACGCAGGGACCTAGCGCTTTCTCTAAGGTCTCCACAGGGGATTCAGGCATCCCTTCATGTTTTGAGATGAAAGATGAGCCTGTATTCAAGCCACTGCAAGGAAATCCGGCCTCCTTTCAAGTTAGGGCTTCTCGCTGTATATTCCACTTGAGGCAGCTATCTCGGGGTCCCTCCCACATACCTATTGCTGAGAGAAGCCTCCTCCTGTGGTGCTTCTGGAAGGTTGGCATACGTCTTGAGCCTAAGCCAGGGAATCAGCTCTCATCTCGAGACGATTTGGGGTACACGGAGCATTCCTCGAGTTGCTGTGCTGAAGTTGGTGTTCCTCTAGCCTTGGCACAGTGTTCTCGGGGCAACTCTGGAGTTGCCTGAAGGAAGTCGAGCCACTGGTCGTGTTGAATGGGGAACGGGGAATGGCTCTGGAGTCAATGCAAGGGAATCGGGCCTCATCTCGAGTTGATTTGGGGCACATGGATCTGCTTTGCATTGCTGGGGTGACCTCAGGGTCCGTCTAGACTGGTGACAGTGTTCTTGGGGACTGTCTCGAGATCCATTAAGCAAGTCGAAGCTCCTGACTTGTTTGAGTGGGATCACGGAATAGCTCTGCATGCACTGCAGGGGAATGGGGCGTCATCTCGCCTCTAGGGGGAAGTCTCATGGTTTTTCTCGAGTTGCGGCGGGGACCTGGGGTATGTTCTCGACTTACGGCGGGGATGGCCCTTCAAAACACGAGTTTCTTCAGTGACGTCAGGACTCCAGTCTAGTAACGAGGGACACCTCAGGAATCTCTTCGAGGCTTGCCAGGGCAAAAGGGACGCTTCTCGAGGTGAGCCAGGGCACCCAAGGACCCTTTCCAGTAGCCACAGGGATTTGGGGATTCCTATCAGTATTCAAAAGGAGTCAGGCATCGTCACCTTTTGAAGCAATGAACTCTGAGTGCCTCTCGAGGTGTCAACGGGATGTGAGGCATTCCGTCAAAATGAGGCACCGAACTAGGGCTTTTTCTAAGGTATCCACAGGGGATTCAGACATCCATTCATGTTGTGAGATGAAAGACGAGCCTGTATTCAAGCCACTGCAAGGAAATCCGGCCTCCTTTCAAGTTAGGGTTTTTCACTGTATATTCCACTTGAGGCAGCGTTCTCGGGGTCCCTCCCACATACCTATTGCTGAGAGAAGCCTCCTCCTGTGGTGCTTCTGGAAAGTTGGCATACGTCTTGAGCCTAATCCAGGGAATCAGCTCTCATGTCGAGACGATTTGGCGTACACGGAGCATTCCTCGAGTTGCTGTGCTGAAGTTGGTGTTCCTCTAGCCTTGGGACGGTGTTCTCGGGGCATCTCTGGATTTGCCTGAAGGAAGTCGAGCCACCGGTCGTGTTGAATGGGGAACGGGGAATGGCTCTGGAGTCAATGCAGGGGAATCGGGCCTCATCTCGAGTTGATTTGGGGCACATGCAGCTGCTTTGCATTGCTGGGGTGACCTCAGGGTCTGTCTAGACTGGTGACAGTGTTCTTGGGGACGGTCTCGAGATCCATTAAGCAAGTCGAAGCTCCTGACTTGTTTGAATGGGATCACGGAATAGCTCTGCATGCACTGCAGGGGAATGGGGCCTCATCTCGCTTCTAGGGGGAAGTCTCATGGTTTTTCTCGAATTGCGACGGGAACCTGGGTTATGTTCTCGACTTACAGTGGGGATGGCCCTTCAAAACACGAGTTTCTTCAGTGACGTCAGGACTCCTGTCTAGTAATGAGGGACACCTCAGGAATCTCTTCGAGGCTTGGCAGGGCAAAAGGGACGCTTCTCGAGGTGAGGCAGAGCACCAAAGGACCCTTTCCAGTAGCCACAGGGATTTTGGGATTCCTCTCAGTATTCAAGAGGAGTCAGGCATCGTCACCTTTTGAAGCAATGAACTCTGCGTGCGTCTCGAGGTGTCAACGGGATGTGAGGCATTCCGTCAAAATGACGCAGGGACCTAGGGCTTTCTCTAAGGTCTCCACAGGGGATTCAGACATCCCTTCATGTTTTGAGATCAAAGACGAGCCTGTATTCAAGCCATTGCAAGGAAATCCGGCCTCCTTTCAAGTTAGGGCTTCTCGCTGTATATTCCACTTGAGGCAGCGATCTCGGGGTCCCTCCCACATACCTATTGCTGGGAGAAACCTTCTCCTGAGGTGCTTCTGGAAAGTTGGCATACGTCTTGAGCCTAAGCCAGGGAATCAGCTCTCATCTCGAGACGATTTGGGGTGCACGGAGCATTCCTCGAGTTGCTGTGCTGAAGTTGGTGTTCCTCTAGCCTTGGGACAGTGTTCTCGGGGCAACTCTGGAGTTGCCTGAAGGAAGTCGAGCCACTGGTCGTGTTGAATGGGGAAAGGGGAATGGCTCTGGAGTCAATGCAGGTGAATCGGGCCTCATCTCGAGTTGATTTGGGGCACATGGAGCTGCTTTGCGTTGCTGGGGTGACCTCAGGGTCCGTCTAGACTGGTGACAGTGTTCTTGGGGACTGTCTCGAGATCCATTAAGCAAGTCGAAGCTCCTGACTTGTTTGAGTGGGATCACGGAATAGCTCTGCATGCACTGCAGGGGAATGGGGCGTCATCTCGCCTCTAGGGGGAAGTCTCATGGTTTTTCTCGAGTTGCGGCGGGGACCTGGGGTATGTTCTCGACTTACGGCAGGGATGGCCCTTCAAAACACGAGTTTCTTCAGTGACGTCATGACTCCTGTCTAGTAACCAGGGACACCTCAGGAAACTCTTCGAGGCTTGGCAGGGCAAAAGGGACGCTACTCGAAGTGATGCAGGGCACCCAAGGACGCTTTCCAGTAGCCACAGGGATTTTGGGATTCCTATCAGTATTCAAGAGGAGTCAGGCATCATCAACTTTTGAAGCAATGAACTCCGCGTGCCTCTCGAGGTGTCAACGGGATGTGAGGCATTCCGTCAAAATGACGCAGGGATCCAGGGCTTTCTCTAAGGTCTCCACGGGGGATTCAGAGATCCCTTCATGTTTTGAGATCAAAGACGAGCCTATATTCAAGCCACTGCAAGGAAATCCGGCCTCCTTTCAAGTTAGGGTTTTTCACTGTATATTAAACTTGAGGCAGCGATCTCGGAGTCCCTCCCACATACCTATTGCTGGGAGAAGCCTCCTCCTGAGGTGCTTCTGGAAAGTTGCATACGTCTTGAGCCTAAGCCAGGGAGTCAGCTCTCATCTCGAGACGATTTGGGGTACACGGAGCATTCCTCGAGTTGCTGTGCTGAAGTTGGTGTTCCTCTAGCCTTGGGACAGTGTTCTCGGGGCATCTCTGGAGTTGCCTGAAGGAAGTCGAGCGACCGGTCGTGTTGAATGGCGAACGGGGAATGGCTCTGGAGTCAATGCAGGGGAATCGGGCCTCATCTCGAGTTGATTTGGCGCACATGGAGCCGCTTTGCATTGCTGGGGTGACATCAGGGTCCGTCTAGAGTGGTGACAGTGTTCTTGGGGACTGTCTCGAGATCCATTAAGCAAGTCGAAGCTCCTGACTTGTTTGAGTGGGATCACGTAATAGCTCTGCATGCACTGCAGGGGAATGGGGCGTCATCTCGCCTCTAGCGGGAAGTCTCATGGTTTTTCTCGAGTTGCGGCGGGGACCTGGGGTATGTTCTCGACTTACGGCGGGGATGGCCCTTCAAAACACGAGTTTCTTCAGTGACGTCAGGACTCCAGTCTAGTAACGAGGGACACCTCAGGAATCTCTTCGAGGCTTGACAGGGCAAAAGGGACACTTCTCGAGGTGAGGCAGGGCACCCAAGGACCCTTTCCTGTAGCCACAGGGATTTTGGGATTCCTATCAGTATTCAAAAGGAGTCAGGCATCGTCACCTTTTGAAGCAATGAACTCTGAGTGCCTCTCGAGGTGTCAACGGGAAGTGAGGCATTCCGTCAAAATGAGGCACCGAACTGGGCCTTTTTCTAAGGTCTCCACAGGGGATTCAGACATCCCTTCATGTTGTGAGATGAAAGACGAGCCTGTATTCAAGCCACTGCAAGGAAATCCGTCCTCCTTTCAAGTTAGGGCTTCTCGCTGTATATTCCCCTTGAGGCAGCGTTCTCCGGGTCCCTCCCACATACCTATTGCTGGGAGAAACCTCCTCCTGAGGTGCTTCTGGAAAGTTAGCATACGTCTTGAGCCTAAGCCAGGGAATCAGCTCTCATCTCGAGACGACTTGGGGTACACGGAGCATTTCTCGAGTTGCTGTTCTGAAGTTGGTGTTCCTCTAGCCTTGGGACAGTGTTCTCAGGGCATTTCTGGAGTTGCCTGAAGGAAGTCGAGCCACCGGTCATGTTGAATGGGGAACGGGGAATGGCTCTGGAGTCAATGCAGGGGAATCGGGCCTCATCTCGATTTGATTTGGGGCACATGCAGCTGCTTTGCGTTGCTGGGGTGACCTCAGGATCCGTCTAGACTGGTGACAGTGTTCTTGGGGACTGTCTCGAGATCCATTAAGCAAGTCGAAGCTCCTGACTTGTTTGAATGGGATCACGGAATAGCTCTGCATGCACTGCAGTGCAATGGGGCCTCATCTCGATCCTAGGGGGAAGTCTCATGGTTTTTCTCGAGTTGAGGTGGGGACCTGGGGTATGTTCTCGACTTACGGCGGGGATGGCCCTTCAAAACACGTGTTTATTCAGTGACGTCAGGACTCCTGTCAAGTAACGAGGGACACCTCAGGAATCTCTTCGAGGCTTGGCAGGGCAAAAGGGACGCTACTCGAAGTGATGCAGGGCACCCAAGGACCCTTTCCAGTAGCCACAGGGATTTTGGGATTCCTCTCAGTATTCAAGAGGAGTCAGGCATCGTCACCTTTTGAAGCAATGAACTCCGCGTGCCTCTCGAGGTGTCAACGGGATGTGAGGCATTCCATCAAAATGACGCAGGGATCCAGGGCTTTCTCTAAGGTCTCCACGGGGGATTCAGAGATCCCTTCATGTTTTGAGATCAAAGGCGAGCCTATATTCAAGCCACTGCAAGGAAATCCGGCCTCCTTTCAAGTTAGGGTTTTTCACTGTATATTCCACTTGAGGCAGCGATCTTGGGGTCCCTCCCACATACCTATTGCTTGGAGAAGCCTCCTCCTGAGGTGCTTCTGGAAAGTTGCATACGTCTTGAGCCTAAGCCAGGGAATCAGCTCTCATCTCGAGACGATTTGGGGTACACGGAGCATTCCTCGTGTTGCTGTGCTGAAGTTGGTGTTCCTCTAGCCTTGGGACAGTGTTCTCGGGGCATGTCTGGAGTTGCCTGAAGGAAGTCGAGCCACCGGTCGTGTTGAATGGGGAACGGGGAATGGCTCTGGAGTCAATGCAGGGGAATCGGGCCTCATCGCGAGTTGATTTGGGGCACATGCATCTGCTTTGCGTTGCTGGGGTGACCTCAGGATCCGTCTAGACTGGTGACAGTGTTCTTGGGGACTGTCTCGAGATCCATTAAGCAAGTCGAAGCTCCTGACTTGTTTGAATGGGATCACGGAATAGCTCTGCATGCACTGCAGGTTAATGGGGCCTCATCTCGATCCTAGGGGAAAGTCTCCTGGTTTTTCTCGAATTGCGGCGGGGACCTGGGGTATGTTCTCGACTTACAGCGGGGATGGCCCTTCAAAACACATGTTTATTCAGTGACCTCAGGACTCCTGTCTAGTAATGAGGGACACCTCAGGAATCTCTTCGAGGCTTGGCAGGGCAAAAGGGACGCTTCTCGAGGTGAGGCAGGGCACCCAAAGACCCTTTCCAGTAGCCACAGGGATTTTGGGATTCCTCTCAGTATTCAAGAGGAGTCAGGCATCGTCACCTTTTGAAGCAATGAACTCTGCGTGCCTCTCGAGATGTCAACGGGATGTGAGGCATTCCGTCAAAATGACGCAGGGTCCTTTGGCTTTCTCTAAGGTCTCCACAGGGGATTCAGACATCCCTTCATGTTTTGAGATCAAAGACGAGCCTGTATTCAAGCCACTGCAAGGAAATCAGGCCTCCTTTCAAGTTAGGGCTTCTCGCTGTATATTCCACTTGAGGCAGCGATATCGGGGTCCCTCCCACATACATATTGCTGGGAGAAGCCTCCTCCTGAGGTGCTTCTGGAAAGTTGGCATACGTCTTGAGCCTAAGCCAGGGAATCAGCTCTCATCTCGAGACGATTTGGGGTACACGGAGCATTCCTCGAGTTGCTGTGCTGAAGTTGGTGTTCCTCTAGCCTTGGGACAGTGTTCTCGGGGCATGTCTGGAGTTGCCTGAAGGAAGTCGAGCCACCGGTCGTGTTGAATGGGGAACGGCGAATGGCTCTGGAGTCAATGCAGGGGAATCGGGCCTCATCTCGAGTTGATTTGGGGCACATGCAACAGCTTTGCCTTGCTGGGGTGACCTCAGGGTCCGTCTAGACTGGTGACAGTGTTCTTGGAAACTGTCTCGAGATCCATTAAGCAAGTCGAAGCTCCTGACTTGTTTGAATGGGATCACGGAATAGCTCTGCATGCACTGCAGGGGAATGCGGCCTCATCTCGCCTCTAGGGGGAAGTCTCATGGTTTTTCTCGAGTTGCAGCGGGGACCTGGGATATGTTCTCGACTTACGGCGGGGATGGCCCTTCAAAACACGCGTTTCTTCAGTGACGTCAGGACTCCTATCTAGTAACCAGGGACAACTCAGGAAACTCTTCGAGGCTTGGCAGGGCAAAAGGGACGCTACTCGAAGTGATCCAGGGCACCCAAGGACCCTTTCCAGTAGCCACAGGAATTTTGGGATTCCTATCAGTATTCAAGAGGAGTCAGGCATCGTCACCTTTTGAAGCAATGAACTCCGCGTTCCTCTCGAGGTGTCAACGGGATGTGAGGCATTCCGTCAAAAAGACGCAGGGATCCAGGGCTTTCTCTAAGGTCTCCACGGGGGATTCAGAGATCCATTCATGTTTTGAGATCAAAGACGAGCCTGTATTCAAGCCACTGCAAGGAAATCCGGCCTCCTTTCAAGTTAGGGCTTCTCGCTGTATATTCCACTTGAGGCAGCGATCTCGGGGTCCCTCCCACATACCTATTGCTGGTAGAAGCCTATTCCTGAGGTGCTTCTGGAAAGTTGGCATACGTCTTGAGCCTAAGCCAGGGAATCAGCACTGATCTCGAGACAATTTGGGGTACACGGAGCATTCCTCGAGTTGCTGTGCTGAAGTTGGTGTTCCTCTAGCCTTGGGACAGTGTTCTCGGGGCAACTCTGGAGTTGCCTGAAGGAAGTCGAGCCACTGGTCGTGTTGAATGTGGAACGGGGAATGGCTCTGGAGTCAATGTAGGGGAATTGGGCCTCATCTCGGGTTGATTTGAGGCACATGGAGCTGCTTTGCGTTGCTGGGGTGACCTCAGGGTCCGTCTAGACTGGTGACAGTGTTCTTGGGGACTGACTCGAGATCCATTAAGCAAGTCGAAGCTCCTGACTTGTTTGAGTGGGATCACGGAATAGCTCTGCATGCACTGCAGGGGAATGGGGCGTCATCTCGCCTCTAGGGGGAAGTCTCATGGTTTTTCTCGAATTGCGGCGGGGACCTGGGTTATGTTCTCGACTTACGGCAGGGATGGCCCTTCAAAACACAAGTTTCTTCAGTGACGTCAGGACTCCAGTCTAGTAACGAGGGACACCTCAGGAATCTCTTCGAGGCTTGGCAGGGCAAAAGGGAGGCTTCTCGAGGTGAGGCAGGGCACCCAAGGACCCTTTCCAGTAGCCACAGGGATTTTGGGATTCCTCTCAGTATTCAAGAGGAGTCAGGCATCGACACCTTTTGAAGCAATGAACTCTGAGTGCCTCTCGAGGTGTCAACGGGATGTGAGGCATTACCTCAAAATGACGCAGGGACCTAGCGCTTTCTCTAAGGTCTCCACAGGGGATTCAGGCATCCCTTCATGTTTTGAGATGAAAGATGAGCCTGTATTCAAGCCACTGCAAGGAAATCCGGCCTCCTTTCAAGTTAGGGCTTCTCGCTGTATATTCCACTTGAGGCAGCTATCTCGGGGTCCCTCCCACATACCTATTGCTGAGAGAAGCCTCCTCCTGTGGTGCTTCTGGAAGGTTGGCATACGTCTTGAGCCTAAGCCAGGGAATCAGCTCTCATCTCGAGACGATTTGGGGTACACGGAGCATTCCTCGAGTTGCTGTGCTGAAGTTGGTGTTCCTCTAGCCTTGCACAGTGTTCTCGGGGCAACTCTGGAGTTGCCTGAAGGAAGTCGAGCACTGGTCGTGTTGAATGGGGAACGGGGAATGGCTCTGGAGTCAATGCAAGGGAATCGGGCCTCATCTCGAGTTGATTTGGGGCACATGGATCTGCTTTGCATTGCTGGGGTGACCTGAGAGTCCGTCTAGACTGGTGACAGTGTTCTTGGGGACTGTCTCAAGATCCATTAAGCAAGTCGAAGCTCCTGACTTGTTTGAGTGGGATCACGGAATAGCTCTGCATGCACTGCAGGGGAATGGGGCGTCATCTCGCCTCTAGGGGGAAGTCTCATGGTTTTTCTCGAGTTGCGGCGGGGACCTGGGGTATGTTCTCGACTTACGGCGGGGATGGCCCTTCAAAACACGAGTTTCTTCAGTGACGTCAGGACTCCAGTCTAGTAACGAGGGACACCTCAGGAATCTCTTCGAGGCTTGACAGGGCAAAAGGGACGCTTCTCGAGGTGAGCCAGGGCACCCAAGGACCCTTTCCAGTAGCCACAGGGATTTGGGGATTCCTATCAGTATTCAAAAGGAGTCAGGCATCGTCACCTTTTGAAGCAATGAACTCTGAGTGCCTCTCGAGGTGTCAACGTGATGTGAGGCATTCCGTCAAAATGAGGCACCGAACTAGGGCTTTTTCTAAGGTATCCACAGGGGATTCAGACATCCATTCATGTTGTGAGATGAAAGACGAGCCTGTATTCAAGCCACTGCAAGGAAATCCGGCCTCCTTTCAAGTTAGGGTTTTTCACTGTATATTCCACTTGAGGCAGCGTTCTCGGGGTCCCTCCCACATACCTATTGCTGAGAGAAGCCTCCTCCTGTGGTGCTTCTGGAAAGTTGGCATACGTCTTGAGCCTAATCCAGGGAATCAGCTCTCATGTAGAGACGATTTGGCGTACACGGAGCATTCCTCGAGTTGCTGTGCTGAAGTTGGTGTTCCTCTAGCCTTGGGACGGTGTTCTCGGGGCAGCTCTGGATTTGCCTGAAGGAAGTCGAGCCACCGGTCGTGTTGAATGGGGAACGGGGAATGGCTCTGGAGTCAATGCAGGGGAATCGGGCCTCATCTCGAGTTGATTTGGGGCACATGCAGCTGCTTTGCATTGCTGGGGTGACCTCAGGGTCTGTCTAGACTGGTGACAGTGTTCTTGGGGACGGTCTCGAGATCCATTAAGCAAGTCGAAGCTCCTGACTTGTTTGAATGGGATCACGGAATAGCTCTGCATGCACTGCAGGGGAATGGGGCCTCATCTCGCTTCTAGGGGGAAGTCTCATGGTTTTTCTCGAATTGCGACGGGAACCTGGGGTATGTTCTCGACTTACAGTAGGGATGGCCCTTCAAAACACATGTTTATTCAGTGACGTCAGGACTCCTGTCTAGTAATGAGGGACACCTCAGGAATCTCTTCGAGGCTTGGCAGGGCAAAAGGGACGCTTCTCGAGGTGAGGCAGAGCACCAAAGGACCCTTTCCAGTAGCCACAGGGATTTTGGGATTCCTCTCAGTATTCAAGAGGAGTCAGGCATCGTCACCTTTTGAAGCAATGAACTCTGCGTGCGTCTCGAGGTGTCAACGGGATGTGAGGCATTCCGTCAAAATGACGCAGGGACCTAGGGCTTTCTCTAAGGTCTCCACAGGGGATTCAGACATCCCTTCATGTTTTGAGATCAAAGACGAGCCTGTATTCAAGCCATTGCAAGGAAATCCGGCCTCCTTTCAAGTTAGGGCTTCTCGCTGTATATTCCACTTGAGGCATCGATCTCGGGGTCCCTCCCACATACCTATTGCTGGGAGAAACCTTCTCCTGAGGTGCTTCTGAAAAGTTGGCATACGTCTTGAGCCTAAGCCAGGGAATCAGCTCTCATCTCGAGACGATTTGGGGTGCACGGAGCATTCCTCGAGTTGCTGTGCTGAAGTTGGTGTTCCTCTAGCCTTGGGACAGTGTTCTCGGGGCAACTCTGGAGTTGCCTGAAGGAAGTCGAGCCACTGGTCGTGTTGAATGGGGAAAGGGGAATGGCTCTGGAGTCAATGCAGGTGAATCGGGCCTCATCTCGAGTTGATTTGGGGCACATGGAGCTGCTTTGCGTTGCTGGGGTGACCTCAGGGTCCGTCTAGACTGGTGACAGTGTTCTTGGGGACTGTCTCGAGATCCATTAAGCAAGTCGAAGCTCCTGACTTGTTTGAGTGGGATCACGGAATAGCTCTGCATGCACTGCAGGGGAATGGGGCGTCATCTCGCCTCTAGGGGGAAGTCTCATGGTTTTTCTCGAGTTGCGGCGGGGACCTGGGGTATGTTCTCGACTTACGGCAGGGATGGCCCTTCAAAACACGAGTTTCTTCAGTGACGTCATGACTCCTGTCTAGTAACCAGGGACACCTCAGGAAACTCTTCGAGGCTTGGCAGGGCAAAAGGGACGCTACTCGAAGTGGTGCAGGGCACCCATGGACGCTTTCCAGTAGCCACAGGGATTTTGGGATTCCTATCAGTATTCAAGAGGAGTCAGGCATCATCAACTTTTGAAGCAATGAACTCCGCGTGCCTCTCGAGGTGTCAACGGGATGTGAGGCATTCCGTCAAAATGACGCAGGGATCCAGGGCTTTCTCTAAGGTCTCCACGGGGGATTCAGAGATCCCTTCATGTTTTGAGATCAAAGACGAGCCTATATTCAAGCCACTGCAAGGAAATCCGGCCTCCTTTCAAGTTAGGGTTTTTCACTGTATATTAAACTTGAGGCAGCGATCTCGGAGTCCCTCCCACACACCTATTGCTGGGAGAAGCCTCCTCCTGAGGTGCTTCTGGAAAGTTGCATACGTCTTGAGCCTAAGCCAGGGAGTCAGCTCTCATCTCGAGACGATTTGGGGTACACGGAGCATTCCTCGAGTTGCTGTGCTGAAGTTGGTGTTCCTCTAGCCTTGGGACAGTGTTCTCGGGGCATCTCTGGAGTTGCCTGAAGGAAGTCGAGCGACCGGTCGTGTTGAATGGCGAACGGGGAATGGCTCTGGAGTCAATGCAGGGGAATCGGGCCTCATCTCGAGTTGATTTGGCGCACATGGAGCCGCTTTGCATTGCTGGGGTGACATCAGGGTCCGTCTAGAGTGGTGACAGTGTTCTTGGGGACTGTCTCGAGATCCATTAAGCAAGTCGAAGCTCCTGACTTGTTTGAGTGGGATCACGTAATAGCTCTGCATGCACTGCAGGGGAATGGGGCGTCATCTCGCCTCTAGCGGGAAGTCTCATGGTTTTTCTCGAGTTGCGGCGGGGACCTGGGGTATGTTCTCGACTTACGGCGGGGATGGCCCTTCAAAACACGAGTTTCTTCAGTGACGTCAGGACTCCATTCTAGTAACGAGGGACACCTCAGGAATCTCTTCGAGGCTTGACAGGGCAAAAGGGACACTTCTCGAGGTGAGGCAGGGCACCCAAGGACCCTTTCCTGTAGCCACAGGGATTTTGGGATTCCTATCAGTATTCAAAAGGAGTCAGGCATCGTCACCTTTTGAAGCAATGAACTCTGAGTGCCTCTCGAGGTGTCAACGGGAAGTGAGGCATTCCGTCAAAATGAGGCACCGAACTGGGCCTTTTTCTAAGGTCTCCACAGGGGATTCAGACATCCCTTCATGTTGTGAGATGAAAGACGAGCCTGTATTCAAGCCACTGCAAGGAAATCCGTCCTCCTTTCAAGTTAGGGCTTCTCGCTGTATATTCCCCTTGAGGCAGCGTTCTCGGGGTCCCTCCCACATACCTATTGCTGGGAGAAACCTCCTCCTGAGGTGCTTCTGGAAAGTTAGCATACGTCTTGAGCCTAAGCCAGGGAATCAGCTCTCATCTCGAGACGACTTGGGGTACACGGAGCATTTCTCGAGTTGCTGTTCTGAAGTTGGTGTTCCTCTAGCCTTGGGACAGTGTTCTCAGGGCATTTCTGGAGTTGCCTGAAGGAAGTCGAGCCACCGGTCGTGTTGAATGGGGAACGGGGAATGGCTCTGGAGTCAATGCAGGGGAATCGGGCCTCATCTCGATTTGATTTGGGGCACATGCAGCTGCTTTGCATTGCTGGGGTGACCTCAGGATCCGTCTAGACTGGTGACAGTGTTCTTGGGGACTGTCTCGAGATCCATTAAGCAAGTCGAAGCTCCTGACTTGTTTGAATGGGATCACGGAATAGCTCTGCATGCACTGCAGTGCAATGGGGCCTCATCTCGATCCTAGGGGGAAGTCTCATGGTTTTTCTCGAGTTGAGGCGGGGACCTGGGGTATGTTCTCGACTTACTGCGGGGATGGCCCTTCAAAACACGTGTTTATTCAGTGACGTCAGGACTCCTGTCAAGTAATGAGGGACACCTCAGGAATCTCTTCGAGGCTTGGCAGGGCAAAAGGGACGCTACTCGAAGTGATGCAGGGCACCCAAGGACCCTTTCCAGTAGCCACAGGGATTTTGGGATTCCTCTCAGTATTCAAGAGGAGTCAGGCATCGTCACCTTTTGAAGCAATGAACTCCGCGTGCCTCTCGAGGTGTCAACGGGATGTGAGGCATTCCATCAAAATGACGCAGGGATCCAGGGCTTTCTCTAAGGTCTCCACGGGGGATTCAGAGATCCCTTCATGTTTTGAGATCAAAGGCGAGCCTATATTCAAGCCACTGCAAGGAAATCCGGCCTCCTTTCAAGTTAGGGTTTTTCACTGTATATTCCACTTGAGGCAGCGATCTTGGGGTCCCTCCCACATACCTATTGCTTGGAGAAGCCTCCTCCTGAGGTGCTTCTGGAAAGTTGCATACGTCTTGAGCCTAAGCCAGGGAATCAGCTCTCATCTCGAGACGATTTGGGGTACACGGAGCATTCCTCGTGTTGCTGTGCTGAAGTTGGTGTTCCTCTAGCCTTGGGACAGTGTTCTCGGGGCATGTCTGGAGTTGCCTGAAGGAAGTCGAGCCACCGGTCGTGTTGAATGGGGAACGGGGAATGGCTCTGGAGTCAATGCAGGGGAATCGGGCCTCATCGCGAGTTGATTTGGGGCACATGCATCTGCTTTGCGTTGCTGGGGTGACCTCAGGATCCGTCTAGACTGGTGACAGTGTTCTTGGGGACTGTCTCGAGATCCATTAAGCAAGTCGAAGCTCCTGACTTGTTTGAATGGGATCACGGAATAGCTCTGCATGCACTGCAGGGGAATGGGGCCTCATCTCGATCCTAGGGGAAAGTCTCCTGGTTTTTCTCGAATTGCGGCGGGGACCTGGGGTATGTTCTCGACTTACAGCGGGGATGGCCCTTCAAAACACATGTTTATTCAGTGACCTCAGGACTCCTGTCTAGTAATGAGGGACACCTCAGGAATCTCTTCGAGGCTTGGCAGGGCAAAAGGGACGCTTCTCGAGGTGAGGCAGGGCACCCAAAGACCCTTTCCAGTAGCCACAGGGATTTTGGGATTCCTCTCAGTATTCAAGAGGAGTCAGGCATCGTCACCTTTTGAAGCAATGAACTCTGCGTGCCTCTCGAGATGTCAACGGGATGTGAGGCATTCCGTCAAAATGACGCAGGGTCCTTTGGCTTTCTCTAAGGTCTCCACAGGGGATTCAGACATCCCTTCATGTTTTGAGATCAAAGACGAGCCTGTATTCAAGCCACTGCAAGGAAATCCGGCCTCCTTTCAAGTTAGGGCTTCTCGCTGTATATTCCACTTGAGGCAGCGATATCGGGGTCCCTCCCACATACATATTGCTGGGAGAAGCCTCCTCCTGAGGTGCTTCTGGAAAGTTGGCATACGTCTTGAGCCTAAGCCAGGGAATCAGCTCTCATCTCGAGACGATTTGGGGTACACGGAGCATTCCTCGAGTTGCTGTGCTGAAGTTGGTGTTCCTCTAGCCTTGGGACAGTGTTCTCGGGGCATGTCTGGAGTTGCCTGAAGGAAGTCGAGCCACCGGTCGTGTTGAATGGGGAACGGGGAATGGCTCTGGAGTCAATGCAGGGGAATCGGGCCTCATCTCGAGTTGATTTGGGCACATGCAACAGCTTTGCCTTGCTGGGGTGACCTCAGGGTCCGTCTAGACTGGTGACAGTGTTCTTGGAAACTGTCTCGAGATCCATTAAGCAAGTCGAAGCTCCTGACTTGTTTGAATGGGATCACGGAATAGCTCTGCATGCACTGCAGGGGAATGCGGCCTCATCTCGCCTCTAGGGGGAAGTCTCATGGTTTTTCTCGAGTTGCAGCGGGGACCTGGGATATGTTCTCGACTTACGGCGGGGATGGCCCTTCAAAACACGAGTTTCTTCAGTGACGTCAGGACTCCTGTCTAGTAACCAGGGACAACTCAGGAAACTCTTCGAGGCTTGGCAGGGCAAAAGGGACGCTACTCGAAGTGATCCAGGGCACCCAAGGACCCTTTCCAGTAGCCACAGGGATTTTGGGATTCCTATCAGTATTCAAGAGGAGTCAGGCATCGTCACCTTTTGAAGCAATGAACTCCGCGTTCCTCTCGAGGTGTCAACGGGATGTGAGGCATTCCGTCAAAATGACGCAGGGATCCAGGGCTTTCTCTAAGGTCTCCACGGGGGATTCAGAGATCCATTCATGTTTTGAGATCAAAGACGAGCCTGTATTCAAGCCACTGCAAGGAAATCCGGCCTCCTTTCAAGTTAGGGCTTCTCGCTGTATATTCCACTTGAGGCAGCGATCTCGGGGTCCCTCCCACATACCTATTGCTGGTAGAAGCCTACTCCTGAGGTGCTTCTGGAAAGTTGGCATACGTCTTGAGCCTAAGCCAGGGAATCAGCACTGATCTCGAGACAATTTGGGGTACACGGAGCATTCCTCGAGTTGCTGTGCTGAAGTTGGTGTTCCTCTAGCCT